CATAAGTTGTTTTACTATCAGAAACATGGTAAATCCACTTTCTATTTTTTTAATTAACAAACATGTAAAATACACAAACTCAAAAATAATAGTTATGAGAAAAATAAGATGGTTAAGAATGGTGAAATCCAAATGAAATACAATAGAAGGGGAAATAATATAAGGTGAGTGGTATCGATTGATAATTGCTATTAGAAAGAACAGGAAGCTCCTGTCCATATTGTATTATGTAAATGTGGTATACGTCTAAGTTTTGTGTTTGTGTATTTTACATGTTTGTTAATTAAAAAAATAGAAAGTGGATTTACCATGTTTCTGATAGTAAAACAACTTATGTAATTGAGAAAAAAAAGAAATAGTTTTGTTCAATTTATATGGCTCCCCATTCATCAATGAATAAAACGTAGTTAATGTTATTATTGCCCAGACTTATTATTAATCATTTTCTTCTTTAGTTATGTTCAAAATTAAAATTCTGTATTTATGTTTAGAGCTCACTTAACCCTCAAATTGTGCCCTTTTGCCATAATATGTACGTCAGATACATTCATGAATTATTAAAAGTTGAGTTTCTTTGCACTAAGGCTCTTGTGGGAAAGATTTCTTGATTTAAAACAATTAGTCCCATTTAATAATTTAAACAATACAGCCAAATGATGAACAGAAGTAGATGCAAGCATCTTGTATTAACTCACCAGTACCTACTTTACAATAATTTCTTGATTTGCCAATAGGAGAAACCAGACACAGGCAGAGGCACTGTGCTTAGAGACATTTCCAGGGATGCCCTGCAATCTTCTTCATACATCTCTTTTTTTTAAAAAAAGAGATTTAATTACATTCATAATATATAAAAAGAGTAGAATTGGGAAATGGGGATACTATAAAGAACTGTGCCATAACATTTTTTATTTACAGATGTACATTTGGCGCCCAGGAAAATCCCAAAGGTATTTCTGGCTGCAGTGTGCAGTACAGTTCCGAAAAAAATAAGTTGCCTTCACAAACAGAAACCCATTTAGAGGGGAGAAGGAAGAAACAGTGTCACCAATCATCTTCCGATAAATGACTGTTTTATGAGCAGCATAACTACCATCATTTATGAAAGACAAGCTCTCTTCCCTCTCCCCCACTTGACAGTCATTTAATGAGAACATGCAATGATGTGCTATCAATATTCCAAATATGTCCTTGGCTCAAAAAAAAAAAAACCCCACATTATTCCTGAGGCGAGGTATTTGGTTCCAGCATCCTAATTATAAAACAAGGAAAATTATTATTTTCTCCCACAGAGTCTCTTCCCTATTTCATTTCTTAATTCTTCCGTCTGCCTTAGCCATTTTTCTATGCCGTTTCTTCCCCTGCATCTGAATTTTCCGCTGTTCTTTTCTTAAAATCCAGTTATTTGTCTATGCTCTCTTTCTACTAATAAACCGATCGAAGGTGAAAGCAGATGACACTTTCGAAGATCAGATGATTTGAGGAAACAGTTGCACAAATATGCATTTATGCCATTTGTAGGTTTCCATGACAAGTGTATCTTTTCCCTTTTTTAAGAAACTGAAACGTGATTTGGTGAAACAGGAGAACTGCTTGCTCAAGTTAAACCGAAGCCTTAAAGATGCTGAGCACAGCTGCAGTGCTGTGCAGAACAATTTTCAAGAATACTGTCCAGATCTGCCCAGGCAGAAAAAGGAAGTCCAGCTCATTAATGATCGGTATCATATTGTAGCTGACCAGCTGGATCAACGGTGAGAAACCGTCCTGAACTCTAGTGGTGGAAATGATTAATATGAATAGTCACCATTTCATAATTCGCTTTTGTGATGCAACATATCTAAAGATCAAGCATGCGATTAGATTTTCCAGAATAGTGGCCCCCAACCTTTTGGGCACCAGGGACCGGTTCCATGGAGAAAGGCTTTTCTGTGGACCGGAGGGGGCGTGGTTTGGTGTACTGCCTGCATCCCATGGATGGGGCTTTGCTTTTTTGCATGGCATGATTTCGGGCATTGGAAGGTTCCTTCCAATTCTGTTATTCTGTCAAGAGATTCCCCCCAATAGGGGAATTGACATAAAAATGTCAACTAATTATTTTAAAAAAAACAATGTGTTTATAAAGCCTTTCTCCATGTATTGTCAAGGCTTAGTTGATGAGTCTCCCATCTTTACTTCTCTGACTATTTCTGGACTTTATTCTTCGTAAGTTCTTTTCTTGGAGTCATCCAAAGAAGTTTGCTACTTAATCTCAGCCATCTTGCTGTGCAGGGAGAAGACACTTTGGGATACCAGCCTCATTTACCAGCAGTTCCAAAATGCCAATGAGAATCTGATATTCTGGCTCAACAATCTCCCGAAGCACAAGGTCAAGACCACAGATGGACCGAGCCAAATTAACTACAAGCTCGAGGCCCAGAAGGTATGAGAGCACTGCCCTATGCTCAAACAAAAGGATAGAAGGCACATTTCCACTAGGCATCTTTCACGCAGGAACTGACGACAGAGAGATATGCCTGCATGTAACATTCACACCTGCTTGTTCTTTACTCAGTGACTGCAACAGTAAACAGCAATGCCTAATGTCTGAAAAATTCACAAGCGCAGGACTGTTACAATATACCGTATTTTTCGGAGTATAAGATGCACCTTTTCCCCTCCTAAAAGAGCATGGAAATGTTGGTGCATCTTATAGACCAAATACAGCCATTTTTGGCCTCCCGAAGCGCCGCCCCTACATCCCATTTTTGTGAAAAACGGCCTGTTTTTCACAAAAATGGAGAGTTTTTTGCCTTCTTTCAACCCCCAGCAGCCCTCTGCAGGCTTCAGCAGGACTGGGGTAAGGCAAAAATGCACCCGTTTTTGCCTTGCCGCAACCCTGCTGAAGCCTGCAGAGTGCTGCTGGGGGCTGAGGGAAGGCAAAAACTTTTTTTTCTTACTTACCTCTTTGAAATCTTGGTGCGCCTTATACACCGGTGCATCTTATAGTCTGAAAAATGTGGTATATTGCTTATAAAGCAATAATCATAGAATTAGTGCTTGAAAGATAGGCAAAAATCTAATTATTCATCTAACATTGTATAGGAACGTATCCTAACTGCCTGTCTCTACTTCTCCTATAGAGGCTGGCAGATGAAATCCAGAGTAAAGAGTCGGATAAAAATTCAGTGATCAACTTGTCCCGGAATGTGCAGTCTATTCTCAATGTACGTTTTCATGATTCTACAGTTTCCATTTCCAATTAGCAAACCTACCTATCGTCCTCCAATTATATGACTGGTTGGTTTTTTTTAAAAAAAAAAACAGGATTATGAACTTCAGGCGGGAAAATATCGATCGTCTCTGGATCCTACTCTGACTGCCTCATCTGCCAAGCGTCTCCGGGTGACTCCACTCCAAGAGAGCATTCAGGCTCAGGTAAGTGATTAAGCCCAAAGCCTGGATTTACTTATAAAAACATACACGCTTCCTAAATTGCTACTCAGGAAGCAGTTTTCATAGTATCGAAGAAGCACAAGCCCTGATAAGGCACAACAATTTTGAAAAACCATAAACAATTGGGAACATTCAATCTAATACCTGGCAATTTAAAATATAGTAATTTTTATTTTTATTAAAATTACAGAATTATCATAAAATTAATTTATAATAATTCTATAATATGCTATTTGAAAAAAGAAAAATGTTTTACGAACTAATGTGGGAAGTATTCAAAACTCGTATAATTAAAGTCTATTAGGGAAACTTGGTGGCTAAGGGAGTTACAGATTCTTAGAATTAGCTGTTAATGATTTTGAATTTCTTCTGTTGCTGAAAATCTTCTGCACATTTTTCTGACATTCACACAAACCGCATCTAACATACTCCCAGCAAATAGCAGGAAGGCCAAGATATCAAAGATTGATTGCAGCCTAAATATATTTTGTCATATTTGTTACCTGGCATAAATCCCTTTGAACATATTGAAATTTACTTCTGAATAGACATGTAAAGAGTTGTATTTCTGGTGTTTCAAAATAAGTAAGAAATGTTTATCTCCAGATTAAATATCATTTTCTCCAGATTTAATAGCATTTTGCTAACCACAGAAAGTTATTTGTTCAACATTGTGATCTAGTATTAATATTTAAAAAACAAATATTGTAGTTTACTGGGTGCTAGTAGTTATCTTGATAGAGAAAATACCGTATTTGAATAATATTTTATGTTGATTGGCTTTAGGAAAATGATATGACAAAACTCTATGCAGAGACTGCTGCTGAAAATAAACAACAAATCTGCTGGTTGGAATTTGCCAAGAAAATTATGAATAAGGTATGCCTAATCATTTAAGATTATTTGGATAATGCTTAAATATTAGAGCATCTCCTTCGTTTCTTTTTTCTTCAGGATTATAGCAAGTAAGATGGTTATTTTGACTTGCTTTTGCCTCTCTATATGTAAATGATACAGGAACTATAATTTCTTAACATGCTTTACCGAAAGATGACAGCAATGTTTATATTTTATGTCTTTGAATTCCTAATCACAATTGCAATATTAATAATAATATCCCATATCTCATTCACCACAATTTTGTTTTTTAAATATTTGATCCAATTTGAAAATTGTGACTATTTTCAAATAACTTCAGAAAGCAAAACTGCACTTTTAAAAAAGTGATTTAAAATATGGAGGCAAATTTCAATTCTACATTATAGTAAGTGCGTTTAAAAAGCCAAAAATCTGTGAGGACTGGGTTTTTTTCAATGAAATAAAATCCATAACTTTCAGGGTTTCATCCCATTTCTGGTTCTTTAGTATAACAATTCATATTTACCATTGGTGGCGTATTTTTGTCATTACCCAAGAATGTTGAAATAAAATTGTGAATAATATTTAGGCAGTACTTTTTCAGTTCAAAATGCTTTATATTAATACTTTCAGTCATTAAGCCAGTATTGATAGGCCTATGTTATAGGAAAGGGAAGAAAGGTTGAGACAATGATTTACCTAAGGCATATTGGAGCTTCTGAAGAATGTTAAAACTTCTAAAATTGCATTTTTAAAATCTTATTGACCATTAGAAACAGGTGGGGAATACAAGAGACATCTTTATTCCTCTGATTTTTTTCCGGCTGTCTTTTCCTTGACTGGAAGCCTAATACTTAAGAGTGTTTTATTTTGCTTGCTTCCTATTGCAAAAACTTCCCCTGTCATGGACACAAAAAGGTGTATACATGATGCAGACTTTATCTCAGAAAATATAATATTCTTAATACGTTTCATTTGTTTTCTTAATACTTAAGTATCTGTCCCTATATATTCTTAGGCATACTGTTACTGAATAATTACTGTATGCTAAATACAGAATCCAGTGAATAATCTGAAGGATTCCAAGTAGGTTTTTTTTTAAAAAAATCCCTAGAAGGGTTTAGTGAGTTCATGGCTCAATTAAGATTTGATTCTTAATCCCAGTTTAATCTCACTTGTAGGTTCATTAAATGTTGGCATATACTCCAAGGAGCCAGTCATATAGAAGTTTAGGACTGGAAGTAAATTTTATAGTATTAAGAATCAACAATACTTACTTTTTGTCCATTCCCCCTCCCCCTCCCGCCCTTTCTTTCTGCAGAAAGAAGTAAGTGATACAGTGCGGGTAAAGTATGAACAAACCCAGCAGTCCAAAAACATAGATGAATCTGAAATCCTGAAGTCTCAGCTTAAAGAGGAACAGAGCAGGAAAGCCAATGTGCAACAAGAACTGGAGGAGCAGAGAAATAAACTTCTGACTCTGAAAACCCAACGGCCCATTGAAAGAATTGAGGAGAAAGAAGTGATTGATTATTATAGAGATCCAGTTCTGGAGAGTGAACTTGCTAAAATCTCTAATCACATTGAGAATGAAAAGCAGAAAAGAACAGATTTACAGACAGATATTGAGAAAGTGAATAATATATTCCTTGAAATGGAAAAAGGTAGAAGGGTTGTGAAAAGCCAGCTACTTACAAAAGAAGTTACTAGAACAGAGAAAGATCCAAACCTAAATGCCCAAGCAGCAAGACTCCAAGAAGAAATCAGGTATCTACGTGATCATTCAACTTCTTCTTCTGAAATTGAACAGCTCAGGAAAGAGTTGTACCTCTTGGAGCAAAAGCAGTCAAACATCCGAGAGAAAATAGTAGTAAAAGAGGTGGTGAAGTTAGAGAAGGATCCAGAAATGCTAAAGGCAATCAGATCACTGCAAATGCAAATTGATGAAGATAGTTTCAAGAAGAAGTCTGCAATGGATACAATAGGGAAAATGAAAAGCAAAATTGAGGATCTTGAGAAGCTGATTGAAGCAACTGAACCCAAAGTTGTCGTGAGAGAAATAAAACAAGTGGAGCAAGATCCGGAGCTCCTAAAAGAATCTTCCACTCTTCAAAAGCTTATTGATGAAGAGAGGAACAAGAACGTGTTATTGTCAAGTGAACTGACACAACTGCAGAGCAAATATAGCACTATGGAGAAGTCCAAGCCTAGAGTGGAGATAAAAGAAAGAGTCAATGAGATTTTTCACCTAGACCCAGAAACAGAGGAAGAGATTGCACGTTTGAAGCGAGAACTCCAAGAAATTTCAAGGAAAAGAAAAAGAGTTGATCAGGAGGTAGAAATAGCCTTAACTGAACTGAAAGTTCTTAGATCCCAAGCACCTTCTGTGGAGTTTAAAGAAGTCATCCAAGAGGTGGTGAAAACAGAAAAGAGCCCAGAGATATTGAGAGAAATAGACCGGTTGAAAGAACAGCTAAATGATCTTGTCAATGCAAACGGTCGATTCCAAGAACAGCTAATCAGGTTAGAAGGAGAAAGAGATGAGTGGAAAAGAGAAAGAGCCAAAGTTGAAACCAAGGTTGTTACGAAGGAGGTTGTCCGATATGAGAATGACCCTCTATTAGAAAAAGAGGCTGAATGTCTTCGCCAAGAAGTACGCAACATATTACAAAAGAGAAGAGCAACTGAAGATGCCCTCTATGACCTACAAAATAAGTACATACTTCTGGAGAGAAGGAAGCCTGAGGAAAAAGTGGTGGTACAGGAGGTAGTTGTTACTCAGAAAGATGTGAAGCTTAGGGAGGAGCATAAGAGGCTGAGCAAGAGTTTAGATGAACAAACAAGCAACCGTCGAAGGATGGATCATGAGGTCCAATTGCTTCGGGCAACAGTGGAAGACCAAGAAAAACTGCTAAACATCCAAGATGACAGAAACAAGAGGCTTGCTCTGGAAAAGGAGATGCGGCAGATCACCCTGCGGATAAAAGAGATTGAAGAAAGCCCAGTTCCAGTTCAAGAAAAAATAATCATGGAGGAAGTAATTAAGGTAGAGAAAGATCCAGTTCTTGAGCAATCAAGTACCAATTTGCGAACTGAACTAGGTAATGAGAAAGGTCAAGTATTGACCCTCCAGAGGGAATGCAAGAACCTTCAAGCCCAGATTGATGTTCTACAAAAGACAAAGTCCCAGGAAAAGACAATATATAAGGAAGTAATCAGAGTAGAAAAAGATAGAGTGCTTGAAAATGAGCGAACACGTCTTTGGGATCTGCTAAGCAAAGAGCGAACTGCTCGGCAAAATGCAGAAGAAAGTATCAGACACCTGAAAGAGAAGATTGAGAGAGCAGAAGGCATGAAATGCACATGGGCTAGAGAAGAAGCTGACCTCCAGAAAACTCAAAATGTGACAATGCAAGAAAAAGCTAGTCTTGAAGATGAATTAAGGGAACTAGAAAAACAGAAGCAACAAAAGGCCCTTTTCCTTAGAGAACAGACTAAGCTTTTGAGCGAAAGGACTGAAAGTGACAGGCAAAAGAAGATCCAATTTGGCCAGGAGGTTTCTCGTCTGGAATCTGATATACTTATGGAGAAGGACAACATTTATGAAAAAGAGAGGACTATCCGGGAACTCCAATCCAGAATCAACAGAGAAGAACTGAACAATGAGACTCAGATGAGAGAGACAAATCTCTCTACCAAGATATCTATTCTGGATCCAGAGACTGGTAAAGATATGTCACCCTACGAGGCTTATAAGAGAGGCATGATAGATAGGTGTCAGTATATCCATTTGCAAGAACTAGAATGTGATTGGGAGGAAATTACAACCCTGGGATCCAAAGGGGATGTTTCTGTTCTTCTTGACAAAAAGAGTGGAAAACAGTACTCCATTGATGATGCTCTGCGGTTCAAAAGGATTACAAAAGAAGAATACCAACTTTACAAGGAAGGCAAAATCCCTATCTCTGAGTTTGCTCTACTTGTGGCAGGGGAAACTAAGCAGAATACATGCCTTTCTTTAGGTTCAATTATTTCCAAGTCTCCAATTTCATCTCCTGTTTTTCAACAGAGGCAAAGCTTCTTCTCTTCTGGTCCACCAATGGCTTTCTGTGACGATACTTTTCCTATTGCTGGAGTATATGACACAACCTACGACAACAAGTACAACATTAAGTCGGCACTTAGCAAGAAATTGGTGGATCCAATGACAGCCCAAAAGCTTTTAGAGGCACAAGCTGCTACTGGAGGCATTGTTGACCTGATCTCAAGAGATCGCTACTCTGTCCACAAAGCCCTTGATAAAGGACTGATCGATAATACTTACACACAGAGGTTGTTGAACGCTCAAAAGGCTTTCACAGGGATTGAAGATCCTGTCACCAAAAGAAGACTGGCTGTAGGAGAGGCAGTTCAGAAAGGATGGATAACTCAAGACAACGCCTTTCCTTATTTACAAGTCCAACACCTCACTGGAGGACTAATAGATCCTAAGAAAACAGGACGCATCCCAATATCAGAAGCTATCCAGACAGGCCTGATCAGTAGTGACCTGGCCACATTACTACAAGATGAATCAAGTTATGAAAAAGATCTTGTTGATCCTATCACCAAAGAGAAGATCCATTATAAGGAGGCCATGGCTCGTTGCCAGAAAGATCCTTTAAGTGGGCTCCTCCTCTTCCCAGCTACCTCCGAAGGATATCAGTCCACAATCCATTCAGCTGCTCTGCCCCGATTCAGGCACTAAGCAAGACAGTATAATTTTAAATTTGTAAAAAGTCTGAAATGCTTTTCATCCACAAGAGAATTCACGCCCTGTCATGTTCAGATGAACAAAGTGCCTGGCAATTATAGATAGCTGTGTATTATATTAGATAGCTGGACTTATTTCATTATACCAAGTTAGCAGCACTTCATACAGAAGCATTTCCAAAAGTAGAAGGGATCTAATATGGGAGTGAATATAGCAATAGCAGTTAGACTTATATACCGCTTCATAGGGCTTTCAGCCCTCTCTAAGCGGTTTACAGAGTCAGCATATTGCCCCCACAGTCTGGGTCCTCATTTTACCCACCTCGGAAGGATGGAAGGCTGAGTCAACCCTGAGCCGGTGAGATTTGAACCGCCGAACTGCAGCTAACAGTCAATATAGTATCTATTATAGGGAATAAGGGTTTTTTGAAATAGAAAAAAACTTCAAAATGCTTGGGAAATAGCTCCTTCCTGTAAAGTCTAAAGGGATGCATGTCACAATAGTTGGAGTTTAAAGATCATGGATGCAATAAAAGTTAAAATACTGACTGCTATCCTGTTATTTTTTTAAACCACTAACAATGCGTTTTCCCCTGATGTATATAATGCTTCACATGTTCCAGAGTCCCGAGTTGGGAACTAGAATTCAGCAACATCTGCAGAACCACAGATTCTCTATTCTGATGTAACCATAACAATATAGAACTCAAAAAGTAACAGCATGAAACATTACATGGAAACACACGGTCAGAGAATGCACTTTCTAAGTGTAAGACAAAACTGTAATAAAAAGCAAATCAAATTAATAGAAAATATGTCACTATAGAACACACACAAGACATTCCGTATATACATACACACATATGTATGTATGTTTCTTTTAAGACTTTTTATCTTTGCAGTCTGTAGTCTATAGGTCAGTATTTCATAGTGGTTTCCCATCTTAAGTACTAACTAATTCTGACTCTACTTAGCCCTTTGAGATTAGCTAGACATGGCTAGGTACTGGGCAACAGGGCTAGAACCTAGTTTTAAAATGATAACTAGGTACAGTGTGCTATGAAGTTTCCACTGCTTTGTTATGGTATATAGTAGTTCACATTTAAAATAGGGATATTGATTATAATTGTCTTCAAATTCTATTTTTGACGGTTTTACGACACTCAAAACTCATTAATGCAAAAGTTACTGATGCATGTTTTATTTATGCAAACAGAAATATTAACAGCAACAATTAATGATAAAATTTCTTAAGTATTAACAGCCATTTTAAAAATAAATCCATAGAAAATAACAACTATTGGATGCTAGGTTGCCTTTCTACAAATGCAAAATAAAAAAAATACAGTATTTGCATAATGGAACAAGGACTTCTCACTGACTTCTTCCAGATTTTCTTTGTATACTGTAATTTCTTATTTTGCTCTCTAGAGTACATTTTCAGTGAGCACAAGGGACCACAAAAAGAAACTTGAATCAGTATAAGGTTTCCCTCTTTTCATCTGTGTATTGTCAAGGTTCCTTCAGAATCTAGAGATTTCAAGGTCTCTACTTTCAACCAGTACATTTGGCTAAGATCAACAAATAGAATTTGTCAAGTATTTCTTTATTAATTTATTTGATGTCCCACACTATCTAATTCAGGTCTTGGAATATTGATTATAAGATTTTGATATTTTTATTTAATTAGAATCTGTTTCTGAAAACCCAAATGGCAGCTAAAGAAGCCTCTTAATTTTTTAATAGTCTAGATCCGTGATGGCGAACCTGTGGCACATGTGCCACAGATGGCATGCGGAACTATTTCTGAGGGCATGCAAGACGTTAATCTGTCAGCTCCAGCGCACATGCGAGTGCTGGCCAGCTGATTTTTGTCATTTTTCGCCTCTGGAAGCTTCTCCCCTGATGCCTCTGGATGCCGAAAAGCTGCCCACTGCACAAATCAGAAGTTCGGGTTGCATGTCGGGCTGGTTTTTTGCCCTCTGGAGGCTTCAGGGAAGCCTCCTGAAGCCTCCTAAATGTCAGGCCTGCAGCCATCTTTTGGATGCTATTTGGAACCCTGACACTGAGGGCCCCTTGGGGGGGGGAGGCCATTTTTGCCCTCCCCAGGCTCCAAGAAAGCCGTGTGCACATGTGCGGGGCAGTGAGGGGGGTCACACTCACATGCACGGGAGGCATGGCAGGGGGCATTAGATTATGGGGGGGCACACAAGCATGTGCGATAGCAAGCATGTGCTTTTGGCACCCGAGGCAAAAAAGGTTTGCCATCACATGTAAATATACAAAGTTCTTGTTTTTTATGATGGATATACATAGAAAGAAACTCAAGTATAACATATTTCTGTGTGTCTCTGTAATATCTAGTTCCTCCACACACAAACGCACTCACACTTTTTTTGGCATGGTTAGTTTTCAGTAGTGTTGTGAAAGTATGAGTTCATATAAAAAAAGAAAAACCAACATCAGTGCCTAGGCTTCTGTACAATGTGCTAGCCTAATCTAAATAATAATAACCATATCTTGTAATGCTAGTACTTGAACTGCAGCAGAGTGAATAATATATTACAGAAACTGGATTAATTAAACTTTTTTTCTCTTTCTACTTCTCAGATAGCAAGTCATATTACTCCTTTTCATATACTAAAAGTATTAAACTTTTTCACCTCTATTAAAGAAGGAACTGTTAGTCCTTACAAGGATCTGTACCATTTACAATTGTCAAAATGTTTGCATGAATATTAAACTGGGCAAAAGGCCAAGAACATTTTTTAATGATGGTTACAGCTGCTCCTTTGCTAAATTGTTTAGAACGTGACGATCCAGTAGCTAATTCCAGCAAAGCATTAACCAGAACTTCTTAATCTCATGGCCCATACTGTTCTACCACACACTGTTTAGCATCCCGTGGAGCTTGCCAGAAATACTGATGGTTCAAAGCAGCTTTGGCTGAGATTCGCTTGTTGGGATCATACATTAATAGTTGCTGTAATTTAGAAAGAGAGAAATATCAGTCTTAAATCCTGCCCATTTATAGCCAACCCTTCAGTGTTAATTCAAGTAACCCTGAAATAACTCTTTACAGTCCTCTTAAAAAAAAAAAAAAAAGGAGATATTTAAGCTAGTCTACTTCTGCCCTGCTAATGAATGCTTGACTAAATGGGCCTTTGGCTTGATTTAGCAAGCTGTCTCATACATTCTCGTTCATACCAATTTGGGATATATTGGGCACATTCCAATTTTTGTAGTGGACACTTTCCACTACTCGTCATAAGTATTAAAAAAGCAACCACAAACACTTTACAAGTCTTCTACTCACCAGCAATAAGTCTCGTCCATCTTGATCCAAGTTTGGAATGATCACCTTCATATCTTTCCTTGGCCATTTGGGGAAATTTCCTTTATAGTCAGGAAGATTTGTGACTCCTGGCCACAGTGATTCAGTTGGAGTACCAAGTGTACGGAAAATCCGGAATAATTGGTCAATTTCAGAGTCTCCAGGAAACAAGGCTTTTCTTGTCACCTGGGCCAAGGAGAAGAAGATTAGTTCACCTAGATTATTATACATATGATCTTCATTCTGGGTAACATTACTCTCTCCAAATAAAATGTTTCCATTATTTTAAAAAAAAGCCTGATATATCAGAACAGACCTATCAAATAGCCTACCAAGTATGAATGGGAAAAGAACAACAGACCTCGACAACTCTTCCAGTACACAGTTTACAGAATATGTATAAAATTCTTAATTATCAAGTTGCAATTCTCTGTTTCTCCTCTGCTCCCTCCACCACCAAAAATTGATTATGTTCCATCAAATTGGTAACAACTTTCTGACACCACAGATAGATGTTCTCTAGAAAGACCCAAAAAATTACGAATGATAAAATATTAAAAGTACTTTAGGATTCTATGTTTTAAGAAGAAGAGGAATATATTAATCCAACACATATCCTATTCATTGGGACATGTATAACATTAATATATGAAATTGAATTATACTGAGATTTTGTAAGCTTTTAGATCTCAGTGTTTTGCATCACTTTGAGTTCAGCTCCCAATGCTTTTTCAGTGTCTCTTTTTGGGGAAGTCAGCTTATCAGTTTCTGAAGCAGTTTCTAATTTATTACAAACCAGAACAAAGTTAATACTTCCTGTGAACTGAAGTAGTTTTGTAGACCTTATGAGCAGTCTCCTTATGAGCTCTTTTGCCTTACATGCCCTGGACTCAGGTTAGGCATTATTCTTTCAGTGCCTGCATAGAATTCAGTACTTTGGAGCTAGTTATCTAATCCTGCTTCCACTAAGAATTAATTTCCCCCTCCAAAATCCATCCACCATGGCAACACGCAGCTACTGTTAGAGCTATTGGGGAAAGGGCCCACGTGATACAATTGCACTTTCACAATTCACGTCAATTTATCAATATAATAGAGGAACAGTGGCAAAAGGATCAGAAAACCTTTGAAGAATTTCAGTGGGTTTGTTTAGACTTCTTAAAACTGACCTTCAGTTACAAAGCTCCTCTCAGATATTTTTGCAAATACACCTACTGAAAAAACGGAGGGATTTTCTAAATTTCAGTTTGGGAGAAATTCAGACAATTTGCTGAGCAAAAATTATGCAATTTGCCACTGATCTTTAGCAGGAGATGAGTCATTCTAATAACTACTTCTACTCCTGGTCCTCCTTCTGCCATTTTCCTGATTCTAGCTACCTGGGAAAGAGCAGCACTCTTTTGGCTAGAGATCTAACTGATCTCTTATAGAGAGAACTTTAGACATTAGATTTAAATTCATCTTTCAAAACTTGTTTTTAAGTATAAACTACATTTATAACTCTTGCTGTTTCAAAATTCCGTACTGCAAAAGATACCCGGAGAAGGACTTTATACACATTTAAATTAGTATTGCAAAATCATGTTTATTCTCTTAGACACTAGCAACCTCCAGTGGTTGTTTTTATACTGTACTCCAGTCTTATAAACCAATAAACAGTATAAGTAGGCAAAAAGCAAAGGGAAACAATGTGTATGAAGCTTGAGGAAATTTAGTTAGATGCTGAGACTTAAGACTAATGACATAAACTTAAGTGTAAGCTTTGAATGGCATTTTGGTAAATAATATTGAAACATAAGGATTTAGGAGTTATGGTGCTACAGTGGTTAGAATGCAGTATTGCAGGCAAACTCTGCCCACAGCCAGAAGTTCATGCCTGACTGGGATCAAGTTTGACTCAGCCTTCCATCTTTCCCAAGTAGGTAAAATGAGGACCCAGATTGTTGGGGGCAATATATCGACATTGTAAACAGTCAGGGAGTGCTGTAAAACATTATGGAGCAGTGTATAAGTCTAAGTGCTATTGTTATTGCCATTGCTGAATTTCCTCACACTTCCTTTTGTAGTTACAACTGCTAAAACTAATTATCTGTCTAAGATAGACAAAGACAACCCACAGGATACTTGCAGTCTTATTATCATCCTGAGACCATCCTTATATTGTTCTGTGAGGCTTAACACATAGTGTTTGCTTTTTTAACTCCTCCAACTAAAAAAAAGAAATTCTTCAGTAATACCATGACATCAACAGACATGGCCTCTGCAACTCCCAGAAGAAAACAGTCCAACTTCAAATTAGGGTTCTAACAATAAGAAACTATAGGAAGAGAAACAAGATAGATTTAATGATATTTTTTAGAATGTGTAGTGATGAAGAAAAGGGAATTTTAAAAAATACATGGGCACTCACAAAGCTCTTTTTTGCACATGCACTTTTCATCAAATAATATTGTGATTATGATATTTCTTTGAAACAGAAAAATATGAAGAATGTTACCATTTCTGCAAAGATACAGCCAATGCTCCATATATCCACAGCTGTTGAGTAATATTTACAACCCAGTAAAATTTCAGGAGCCCGATACCATAAGGTTACCACCTAAAAGGAATCAAGTTTGTTTAATATATGCCTTCTCAGATTTAATTAGAAACATTTATTATTGAACCATAAATCCAAAGCACACTGAACATTTTTTAATTCATTTACTAGAAATTCCAAGTCATTTAGCAATAGCAATAGCAATAGCAGTTAGACTTATATACCGCTTCATAGGGCTTTCAGCCCTCTCTAAGCGGTTTACAGAGTCAGCATATTGCCCCCAACAACAATCCGGGTCCTCATTTTACCCACCTCGGAAGGATGGAAGGCTGAGTCAACCTTGAGCCGGTGAGATTTGAACCGCCGAACTGCAGTCAGCCAGTCAGCTGAAGTAGCCTGCAGTGCTGCATTTAACCACTGCGCCACCTCGGCTCTATATTCCTCGGCTCTATAATCACCTCTGTATTAAAGTGACTTACTACAAGTCACTTTAATACAACGTGCTGGAATTCAACGTCCTCTATTATGTTATATCAAACAAATTTCCTATCCCTTGATATTCTCTCTCTTCTAGTTTCCCCCTTTACTGGAAAGCAATGACCTCACAGTTGGACAAAAAGCAATATCATGTGGGAGATGGACAAAAACATAAGCCAAAGATCTGGTAGAGGAATTGTCTCAAAAGAAAAAAAGAAAAAAAAATCTAAATCCCAAATCAACCATGTTAGGTGACTTTAACAAATATTTCTATGAAATCAATAGATCAATATATGCATTTTTTTGAAACAAAAGTCCAAGAAAGTTCACATTCCAGTTCATATGAAAGTGTTGGAGGCTACATAGAGAATTTAAAAAAACATAAATGCTTTTTCTAATTTAACACCTTCCAATTCTAGACTGGAGGAGATTGGCTGTTTTACAAAATTTACATTTACCCTCCTCCATTTGCAAAATAAACTTGTCTGCTCTGCTCCCTGAAAGGATCCTTGCCTCTTTATATCAAGATAAATAAGGCAATTGGTTGAGAATATCGGCCATAATGATTCAAAGGGAATCACTTTTTATTCTTTCCAACCCGACTGAATATTCAGAAGATATTCCACAAAATGGCTCAAGATCTATCTTCAGGATAACTCTGAAAATAGACTAGAATGGATGCATATTTAATGCAAGGGAAGCCCCCAAACTGAAAAATCAGTAGAATCTGACCGGAAGCTGCATTAAAAAAGATCCAGTCCTTCAATGCTGCCGACTACTCCATTTCGTGACCCATCAAATCCGCGGAGGACAAAATCGCGCTCGACGAAAGCGTGCATGTGACGTCATCACAGCGCGATGAAAAAAATTAAAAATTGAAATAAAATTAAAATTAAAGCAAGCCGATTCACATAAAGGTAAGGGTTAGGTTTAGGGTTAGGGTTAGGGTTAGGGTTAGGTTTAGAGCGTTAGGGTTACGTTTAGCGTTAGGTTAAGGGTTAGCGTTAGGTTTAGCGTTACGTTAACGGTTAGGTTTAGGGTTAGATTTAGGGTTAGGTTAAGGGTTAGGTTTAGGGTTAGGTTTGGGGGGGTTAGGGTAAGGTTTTCGCTTTTTTTTTACATTTTTCGATCACAGCGCGATGTTTTCGTCGCGCTATGATGACGTCAAATGCGCACTTTCGTCGAGCGCGATTTTGTCCTCCGCGCTTTTGTGGTGGAACCACTCCATTTAACACACAAATACACACATAAACACACAAGCACGTGCACATGCACACACACACACACACACACTTTCTCCTCAGTTATGCGATCCAGAATAGAACTGCAGTAAGGGATTAGAAAACATTCCACAAGCAATGTTCTATATGCTTTTCCTATCTCATTTATATGAATCTTGATCTAAAATCTCAACTACACTGTTTCCCTGAAAATAAGTCCTCCCCAGATAATAAACCCAATTGGGCTTTTGAGTGTGTGTGCTAAACTAAGTCCTCCCCCCAAATGTAAGACCTCCTTGAAACTATTGCAACACAGCAGCAGCCATGAAGTGACCATACTTGCTGCCTCCTGCACCTTAAAAATAACAAGACCTCCCGGAAAATAAGGCCAAGTGCTTATTTCGGGGATCAAAAGAAAATAAGACCCTGTCTTATTTTTGGGGAAACAGGGTAGTTTGACACATCATAGTACAGTTTCTTTTCATATAACTTAATAGTTTAAAATCCCCTTAGGATTTTTCTCTATAAGCAAGCGACAGATTTACTCTGGGTAGACTCTTAACATACTGCAACAACCATTCTATCTGCTGCAGTCTGGTGATCCTTATGGAATGAGATTACTGCCCTTTCTATACTGGCAGGGGGTCACCCTTTCTTTTATGGCCCCTATAAACATCTTCTAGCATCAGTCTGCTTTGAGCAGCAGAAGAGCCTAACTCTTTTAAACAGATCTCTCCCCAGGTCTGTATTCTCCCAGGTCTCTGAAACTGTCACGACCCTAAATGATTTACCAGTATTTCCTGTGTGTTTAATAAATTCCCTTATTTTATCATAATAAAAATGAAAATTTTATGGTAAATTTCAAGAATTTCTTCGGGCTACACTTAATATTTTTTTATTTTTAGAAGGGGCTACAACCTAGCTCCCTCTTTCTCGCATGCACACTTATCTCTGTGTGATTTCTTTTCAGGGGCTGACCCAGCAACCTACATAGCTGAGAGACAGACATTACCTCATGTGTGTAAGTACGTAGAGGGACTCCAAAAGCTCTAGCTAGACCAAAATCAGCTAGTTTGATGGCTCCCATTTCGTTTATGAGCAAATTCTGTGGCTTCAGGTCTCTGTGGATAACTCTGTGAGAATGACAGAAGCTTACACCTTGTAACAGTTGGTAAAGATAGCTCTAGAAAGAAAAAGTTCAGAGAGCACATATGAAGAAACTGTAAGGTTGACACATCATTTCCTAGGCAAAATAGCAATAGCACTTAGACTTATATATAGCTTCATAGTGCTTTATAATCCTCTCTACGCGGTTTACAGAGTGATCATATTGCCCTCAACAATCTGGGTCCTCATTTTGCCGACCTTGGGTGGATAGAAGGCTGAATCAACCTTGAGCCAGTGAGGATCGAACTGCTGGCAGTCGGCAGAATTAGCTTGCAGAATGTACTGCATTTTAACCACTGCACCACCATGGCTCCTATGTTGTATCTCAAAATTCTGCTACCATATATGGGCTTCCAAAATAGTGACAGCTACTAAGTGATAGCAAAGGGTTAGACTAGAATATATATCTCAGCTGCCATGTGATTATTGTCTACATTTTTTGCTAACTGGATGACTTCACGTTAATTGGCAAACAAAATAAAGAGATTCCAGATTAGCAGCTTTTTTAGCCCTGGAGAATTCCTTTTTAAAAAACAATTTGGGTGGTCTGAAGAAGCATGATGTACTTGGGCACTGTAATTCTGGGAGAAGGGACTGGATTAAAACTTTTCCTCTCTGTGTGATGGCCCAAGATCATGAATCTGACTTTAGGCAGGACTAGAACTCACCATCACCTGATTTTTCACCTAGTGCTCTTATATCAAGAAGCAGCATTTACTTAACTCTGGTTTCAGATATATTATTCCACACTGAGAATTACATATAATTTGAATGAAGACAATGTTATATAGGCTTTTCAAATATTATACATATCAACATTCTAGGGCCCTTTCCTCTTAAATAACAGCTTCTGGATAACATTTTGTATTTAAAAAAAACCGTATGAGGTAAAGCAGTTTAATGCTTTTGCACAGCTGCTACTTTTGCAATGCCAGATCATTTCCTGAAATCTTTTGTTTCCTTCACAGTTAAAAATGGGTTGGGAAATCCGTGTAGATTTGAAAGAAGATGCAATTGGAAGTGCAATCTCAGCAGGGAGAATAAAGATTAAGTATTTCATTCTTCCCATTGTAACTTCATAACTGCTGTCAAAACTAGGTTTTCTATCAGGAGCCAGAGGCAAGAAGAATAAAGTAGATGTCAAAGATTTTGCAACATTCCGGGTAAAAAGAACTGGGAACCTTTTTGACCACAAAAATCACATGGGATACCAGCTAGTTAATTAGGAACCATAAACAACCAGGGGCACATAATCAGCCCTATGAGGTAAACCAAATCAGAAAAATAAATCCATAGGTATACTAGAACTATATTTTATTGAGCCGGGCTATGGTAATGGAATCTTGCAAGTCCACTTGTGGTTTCCCTTCCTCCCACTGATACCCCAGGGAGATGGGGGGTGAGCCAGTCTGTCTTTTTTTAACACTTTCCTGCCTCCCTGGACTCAATGCACATTTCAGATCCTACAACCATATACACATATATACGGATATATACAATCACCGCCCCCCCCCCCACATCTTCTTTTTTCTCTCCCTTAGCTGAACCATCCTTTTCTGCAGCTTCCAAGACATCTAATTCTAATTGTATAGCTGGCAGGGAATGTGACAGTTATTTTTTCTGCAAGCAGACAGAAAGTACTGTTAACTGCAGTGGGCCAGAGAGGAGATTGTTGGTTCAGATGAGTTGTACGTTGAACATCCATGTTGCAAAGGATGTTGAAAGTAGTTTGAAAGTGTGTTAGCTAATTGCCAGAGACAGATAAAGGATAGTTCTCCAGATTGGGGCCTGTGAGGGAGGGTATTTGAGCTACTTGCTACCTTGATTAAGTTTAGAGGAAGCTCTCCTGTACGAGATGAGTCCATGTACTTTTTAAGATCTTGATTCAAATATTCAAAGACTAAGTATAGCTTCTTCTGATTATGCACTACATCAAGGAGCCTGGAAAAAAATTAAATTCAGTGACTTGAGTATTTAGATAAAATCTGTAAGCATAATAACTGCAAGCTCTTCAATAAGCATGGGAAATCAGTGTAATAGAGTGATTACAATGCCTTAAGATTAGGAAAAATCCAATCTGAAATCTTTACAGGAAACTAACTGGGTGACCAGGGCCAATTCTCTCACCTCTCAAGAGTTTTTGTAATTGATGTTATGATTGTTTACCACCCAGACTCACTTTTTTGAGATGGACAGCTATAGAAATTGAACAAACAAACAAATAAATAAATAAATAAATAAATAAATAAATAAATAAATAAACAAACAAACACAAATAAATAACAACAAAGGAAAATTGTGCAAGCTAAAAGGAAAATAATTGTGCAAGCTTCTTTGGAGGCAGGGGATAACATCGCAATACACAAATAATTGAGTTAAACATCTAAGGGTTAGGTTAGGGTCTATTTTTATATGTGAATAAATTCAATATTGGAATTGCTATCTGTGAAAATATTTGATATTCATAGAATATATCCTAGCAGAAATAAAGGCCAGTAGCTTTTCTTACCTCAC